AGCTTTGTTATAGATCTGATTATGGAAACAGCCCTATCCTCGTGCGAGGATAGTGGCATCAATTTACTCCCAGGTGGTAGGCTGTCTGACCTAGAGTATGCAGACGACATTGTGCTACCAAGTGAAGATCCAGGTAAGTTACAAGCTTTCCTGGAAAGTTTGCGTGCTAGCGTGTCCATGTTTGGTATGCGTTTTGCACATTCAAAGTGTAAAATGTTGCTACAAGACTGGGTTGGTCCAGCACCCAACCTCACTTTCACTGGAGAAGTAATAGAGCAGGTGGATAAGTTTTGTTATTTGGGCAGCTACATCTCGCCCGGTGGAGGCATCACGGATGAAGTGTCGACGCGCATACAGAGGACTCGGTTGGCATTTGCTAACTTGAGACATCTGTGGCGCTGTCGCGACATCCGGCTGTCTGTGACAAGTCGAGTGTATGGCGCAACAGTTCGGCCAGCCCTGCTATACGGTGCAGAAACTCGGCCATTAAGAAAACAAGATAAAGACAGAGTGTCGGTGTTTGAACACCGCCGTCTACGCAGCATTGCAGGAATCTGATGAGGTAGGCGGATGAGCAATGCTGAGGTTAGGGGCAGAGTTTTGGGTAAATACGGTCGCCCACTGGAGTCGACCTCCGAGGTTAGACGCAGAGTTTGGGTAAATACGGTCGCCCACTGGAGCAAGTGGTCGACCTCCATAGATTACGTTGACTGGGGCATGTGTTACGCATGTCACCAGGTAGGTTACCACGGTGAGCGATGTTCGCCGAAGCAGACACGGAGTGTAAAAAGCCAAGGGTGGTCAAGTTAAGACCTGACACGAGGGTATGAAAACCCTAACCACGAGACTGGGTCACATAGGCCCCGTTAGGCTCCCTGGCTGGGGACCTCGGGATGATCGTAACCGATAGTTAGAGACACAGCGATATGACTGGGTGTCGTTCGTGCATCTTCTCAATCTCTTTGCAACCTTAGACCATTGAACTTCTCCATTTTCTTTTCGATTCCACTTTTAACTCCTACTCTTCATCCAAATGGGTAGCCAAAAGACAGCAACCAAAACCGGCGCTCGAATATGTGTGGTTAATGGTTGTACAAACTGAAACTACAATCAATGCAGGCAGTGAATAAGGTTTCCTCAGCACAGTTAGCTATTTGAGACGTTTGATCGTGTAGGTTCATTTTACGCGGTGCACGTTTGGTGTTATCAGTATCAATCTGGGGCACCCACGCTCGGCCATACACCGAGACTTTCGGAGTCCGATGATGATGTGTGGGCCACCTTAAAAAGAGTTGGCTGATCGCGACTGGAGCTGGCACCTATCTTTAGCTACACAAATTCATTCGATCGGATCCCAACAACCTGAGTTTCAAAAAGCAATGCGAATATGCACGAAATCACATGTAATCTATGAATGGACGTGGATATCCGCTCACGTGAGAAGAACACACAAAGGGACAGCTGCGTATTCGAGTAGAAGAACATGGCGCTGCATGGTTCGAACGCGAACGGATGCGATCCAGAGCTTGGCAGAAAACACGTCCTTCAAACCAGTCTCTAGTTGGTATTCATTACTAGCTGCAGACTGAGCATCAAGCTTTTTTCCTTTCTTATTTATTTAATATACAAATGTATAGTCGATTTTTAGCAGACGGGCTGCGGCCAAACAAGGGCTGTCTGGAGAAATACAGAAATAAGGACAATGGAAAGAGTATCAATCCGATTTATTTACACAGATCCGAATGGAAAGTTGCTTTGGCTTGAACAGACTGATGCAACCCAGCGCCGAAGTCCCCCGGGCTGCTTCATTCGCATCAGTTGTGCATTGTCATGGTAATCAGGCGAGTGAAAAATAGAACTGCGTACTGCATTATCATCGCTTGTGACACGTAAACCTTTTGTTTTTCTGAAGTAAGTAAGTAAGCATCAAATACAATGCGCTGGAATGAATCCGTTGTTAAGCCAAATCCAATCACAGTGTGGCCCTCTTTTTATCAAGTTTATTTCGGAATGTAATTTGAATTCGGTACAGAAAACTCACTGAGAGAGGCGGGATAGAGTAAGTGACCTTAAGAGCATTTCTAGCACAAAAATGGACCATTCAGAACAGCGAACAGTGTTTTTCACTCCTAACGATGTGTTTAAGCTTCTCAAGGCACAAACTTGTTACCTGACAGTCATCCACCTATTCTACTGGCACGTGGAGCCGAGTTGCTTACGCAAGCAATGACGACCGAAAAGCGCAACGGTTGTCCTATTCCCAAGATCCTTTCCGTAATCTCTCATTCCAAGTATTCTAAATAGGTGTGGATCACGAATCACTGTCGCGAGGAATCGCACCAACAATAGTTCACTATAATCTCCCGTTATCGAAGAGAAGGAAAAAAGTCAGAGAAATAGCGGTTAGTTTATTGGGGAAAATCAATGGGATGAAATAATGCGTAGAAAGAAACGTCATTGGCTAAGCAGATCTTCGCCAATGGCCTGCTTGCATTCTTGACGTTATAAAGCTTCCGTTCACACTGCACGGCTTCTGATTGGTTATTAATAGTAGCCCATTGTTCGTTGTTCAGAAACTGTAATGCGTTGCATCGTGATCGGCCTTATCTCGTGGGCTAAAGATTTTCCTGACCCAACTTGATGAAATGGGTTATTCTTGGCCGCCTACGTTCTTTCATTGCAGACCCGAACTGCCAAGATCAGTTCACATGCTAGCTGAACAGATGAAACAGTCACGTCTAGTCTACTTAAATGCTTAGATAATTTGGTGGGACCCGTGTGCTCTGCTCCTCTGCTTTGGACTCATTGCTATTTTTTTGAAAACTAGAATCTTTCCATTGCCCTTCATCCCCCACCGACTTCAAATTATCAAGGTGGTTGGTGGAATGTTTGCAAACTCATTTTATAACCCAGGCAGGGATTCTTCGGTGTACAGGTTGTGACCGAATTTCTTCATCAGTGATTTCACCGGAGAAACTTCTTAAGTACGCAACGAATACGATGTTCTGTTAACCAGTCTCCAGTCAACAAGACTCCACCTCGTTTTTCCGGAATGATTATGATGGTCATAACTACTTAACTCATTTGGCTTCAATCTTATTTCCCACCTGAAGTGCTAGGAATATATTTTCAGTATCTAATCTAGATCCCACCATACACTGAGTACTCTTATTTACTATTTACCTTGCTCTCTTGCTGAAGGGTTTCCTCACGAAAGTGCCTGGGCGTCACATCGGTCTTCCCACCATCGGGGTTGCGCTAGAAAAAGGTCCGCTGTCCTTTCCAATGCGTGGAATCGGTTTGGTTATTGTTTCATTGGATAGCATTGTGCCCGGCTAATTTTTATTTTACTGCCCCGCCAACATTCATAGGTTCGTTCAAAAAGACTTTCGCTAATACGTCACAGTTGATTAATCGTGAATCTCTCAAACCCTTATTGGCATAGAAACCATCAACGCCAATGGGAGTACCATGTCGAGGCAAGCGAAAAATTACACTACTCATTCTCCACATCGGAACTTATTTGCGTGTGTCATTTACGCCCATCAAAACACATGATCCAAATACCACATACCAGTCTACCTGGAGTTCCTCGAATATCATTGATGGCTCGCGTTTTGGTTACCAAGGTGATAGTCGCAGAGGATTTTCTTTCTCTTACATCCATTTGCTTATTGCTTCAAACGCCCCCATATCGGAATCACTGAGGTCCACAGTGCCCATTTTTTTCCTGTTCTACGCAAGTCCAGGTACATACAATACAAAATCGAACTGCTGTTCCTTGCCTGATGTTCTTTTGATACGTTTAGTTTCCGCCTATTTCTCTGTGTTTGCATGTCAAATACTGATCGATCGCATAATCACATCATAAAGTCGAGATGATCGTCGGTTATGCTTATCTCATTTTTGTCTACAATAAGGCGCTGAATTATCCCGGATATCAAAGTGCCCCATTTGACACGTGGCTATCCAATGTGACCAGTTTGATCAAACATGCCGTTCGTGATGAGATTAATGTCTGATTGCCATCAAAAAGCACCGCACAGCTCGTTAGTCCCTCACGGGATATACGACTACTACTACTACAATGACAGTCATAAATCCACAGAACAGTGCCGGACGAGGAGCGTCAATTATTACGAAACACCGCTATAAGGTTAAGGGATAGTTTCGTATACCACATACAACAAAATGCCTCATTTGTAACAGGTCTTCAGAAGTCCCAGAAAGCAAACACAAGATAATTATTAGTGAAACCGTCCGACGGTAGATGTACATTTGCGGTAGTTACCATTTTGAGCACAGCAATTCGAGAGGTCTGGCGCATTTTCGACCGCTGAGAGAAGGAGTCAATCACGTTATTTCCCGCAACCCAAACATATCAATCACTGCTAGCCGGGTGTACCCGAATCACTACAAGTTCCGTTGGCAGCCGAGCCACTGTGGGCGCTCACTTGAAATCTGTTAGTACAATATACTTTTGGTCAAGTTCATGGGAGCAACTAACCGAAGCCGAGTCCAAGTTTAAGGCAATTTTTCGTGCGAGGATAGCGGTATCGATTCACTCTCAGATGGCACACTGAATGATCTAGAGTATGCAAATGATATAGTACTGCCAAGTTAAGATCCAAGTAAATTGCAAGCTTTTCTGTATATTTTGAGTGCGGGTGCAGCCATGGTCGGTGTGCGTTTTGCACCTTCAAATTTTGCTACAAGATTGGGTTGGAGCAGCCCCCAAATTTACTATAAACGGGGAGGCATTAGAAGAGGTGGATACATTTTGTTATATGGGAAGCTATATCTCACCAGTGGACGCATCACAAATGAAGTGTCGGCTCGCATACAGAAGGCTCTATTGGCATTTGCCAAGTTGAGA